AAAGAGCTTCCCAGACAAAAATAAGCTAAAGGAATTTATCACCACCAAGCCAGTATTACAGAAAATGTTGGAGGGACTTCTTTAAGAAGAAAAAACATGTACCAAAAACAGGAATAAAGAATGGTAACAACTACATTCCTATCAATAAGTACTTTAAATGGAAAAGAATTAAGTGCTCCAACCAAAAGATAGGGTGGCTAAATGGATAAGAAAACAAGACCCCTACATATTCTGCTTACAAGAGACTCACTTCAGATTAAGACACACAGAGACTAAAAGGAAGGAGATGGAAAAAGATATTGCTTTGATGGATCTAGAAGTTATTTAAGTCAGACAGAGAAAGATAAACACTATATGATTTCATTTATATGCAGAATCTAAGGAATAAAAAGAACAAACTAGTCAAAAACAGACTCACAAATATAGTTGACAATTTGGTGACAGTGGGCGGGGGGTTGGGGGGGCTGGGAAAATGGGGTGAAGAATTAAAGAAGTGCAAATTAGTAGCTGATGGACAGTCACGGGGATGGGGAGCACAGCATAGGGAATGCAGTTAGCATTAATATGTTGGCTAGGTGAAGGGTCAGGGGAGGGAGGGAGCAATTAGGGAGATTGTTTTATGAACTATATAGATGTCTAACCAATGTACTATATACTTGAAAACTAATTAGAATAAAATTTAAAAAGTGGGACAATGATACAAAAGGAAGTACATAGTAAACCTTATAAAAATTCCTTACAAAATTGAAAAAAAAAATAGAATCTAAATATAATCATGCATCTAAATCTATTTACCAGTTTACAGGAAATATGAAGGAGAGAAGAATACATTAAATGACATGAGGATGCGATCAGCCAAATCCAGAATGTGAGAATTCCTACAGAGCAAATGATCAAATCCACAATTTTAAAAAGGGGGGTGAGTGGGACCTGGTATGGACTAAAAGACAATTAAGCAAACATCTGGACCTTGTTAGGGCCCCAATCCAAATGAACCAACTTGAAGATCAAAACTTTTTTTTGAGATAAAAGGGGAAATTTAGACATGGACTGAGTATCAGAAAATATTAAGAATTTATAATTTTGTTAGATATCATAGTGGAATTATGGTTAACAAGTCTTTATCTATATTTAGAAGTGAAATAATGCTATGCTGGGATTTGCTTTAAAGTACCCCATACACTCCCCTCTAACTCCTGCACCTTTGATAAGTTGTGTGCATGTGGAACAGGGAAATAGATAAGAAAAAATTAGGAAAATATTGATAACTGTGAAAGCTAGGTGATGAGCACTTAGGGATTTCATTGTACTAATTCCGCCTACTTTTGCATATGTTTGAAAATTTCTATAATAAAGTTTTTTTAAAAAAGGAAATAAAGAGAATTTGTAAAGGAGCAGTAAATAATCAGGTTTCAAGATATTTGAGGACTTAAGCCAACTGTGATTGCTTTCTACAGAAATCTGGCTCAACAAATATATTTAGTTTCTAAGTTTTAAAAAGTGCCCTTAAAAAAAAAAAACAGATCAGCATGGGAAACACATGGAAATAAAAAACTGCAATAGAATATAAGATATAATAAAAGATTTATAAGGTATAGCAGAAATACAAAGGGATAGAGTGATCCACTCTATACTGAACAGAGAGTAGGACAAAGAAATCTTCTCAAGAGGTGGTAAAGACTAGACTTGTTTACCAGGAAAACAAGGGGACGGAAAGGTATTTTCATCAGAGGGAATATGTAAAGGCATGGAAAAGTGATAAAATAAGTGTTTGGGGGAATTACAAATAGGCTAGAATGGACTTCAGTAATAAAAGTTTGAAAATTATTCAAAGTTCTAAATACTAAAGTGTTACAAAGGTTTAGAGAGGGCATTTTATATGAAGGTTGAAGAACAGCTTAAATGTGAAGGCTTCTTCTGAGGGAAAGAAATCAAATTGTTAACTGTGATGATTTCTGAGTGGTGAAATTAAAGACATTTGAATGTTTATTTATTTCTTTATATTTACCAAGTTTAGAAAAGTGATTATTTTTGTAAAATAATTTTTCCACTCTTAATAGCTATACATAAAATACTCAATTCGTATAGAATTAGATTTACATCTCTCTATGGATTCAAAGAACTTCAACTTTTTCTTCTAAATATTTCATATGTAAAAATTTCAAATATCCATCCATCAAAAGCATTTATTTTAATTTGAGGGATCTAATAAATGATGGGAATGTACAGAGCATGTAATAATCTAAATGCCTTGCATATTTGAAGAAAATTCATGATAAAAATATTAAGCATATTAATGCTTCTCAATCTTTTATCCAGTAAATACCGCTTCAATTTCATTTGATTTAGTTTTGTCTTTTAAAAAACTCAGAAAAATTTTCAATGAAATAAAAATAAAAACTAAGATTTATGATAGCCTACATTAATTCTCATTTCTTTTAAAACAGGTTACTTTTATTGCAAATTAAAAAGATGTTTTCATTGGGTAGATGAGTTACTGTAAGACTTTTGAGAGACTCTCTCAAACTATTTTTTGAAATTAAATGTGGTATTTTTGTGTGAATATATTCAATTCCACGAAGAAAGGTCCTATAAGATATTCCAATGATCAATTCTTACTTCAAAACTCTCAACCATGATGTTGATACTAAATGAAATATTGAGAGAACATTAAATGAAATGATAACACAAAAAAAGTCCATTTATACTTTGGAAATACTGCCACTTTTTAATGTATAAAATTCACATGGAATTTAACATTTATAGTTATGCTGTCATGTTGCTGAAATTTTAATGTGAATGAAGTATGAGAAGAGTTATAAAAAGACCTCATGTGAGTCAAGAGAGGCTTACTTTGTTGGCGTCTCAACCTAAAAGAACAACTGGTTCATTTGGAGGCTTACAACAATCTTCAAACAAAATTATTTTTCATCTAGAAACAATGTTCACTCTGGTTCTACCTCCACTTATTTTCAAATAACTGTTTCTTATCTGTACAAGAAGCACAAAGTGCAGAAAATATATAGCTGTTAAAAATTTTCAAGGTTTTTGTAGAGAAGGTATATAGCCTTGGTAGGTGCCAACTGACTCTAAACTGCTTTATAGTCATGTACTTCATTTGAAATGTAAACATTAGCCCTAAAAATCAAGTAGCAACTCAAAGCACTATAGATTTATAAACCTATTGTTCTTTTATTATTAATACTAAATAATCTTTTGCATTTCCCATTATCAAAGTAACCACATTAAAAAGAGTAAAATAGGAAAACAAACCAATCTACCATATTAATATAGCCACTAGCATTACTTCAACTCAAAGATCTTTAAGGTGATCTCTTTTTTATTTTATTCATCATAATGTGTTACCATATTCAACATAGTCATAGTAAAACTGTCTTTGTAGCCATCATATAAAGGGCTGAATGATATTTTATTTAGTGGCTTGGCCATAATTACTTAATTATCTCTCTATTTTATTCATTTGTTTATTTCTGAATTTTTATGACTTTATCTGAGCCCAAACTGACAACATATGTTGGGAGCAAGATCTCAAATGCTCCTTATCTCTCTATTTTAGATAGTTAGATGTTTTAAGCCATTATAAAATATGCTGTAATTACCATATTTATGCATATTTCCCCCCATATTTTGGATTTCTTTTCCCTAGAATTCTAAGTCTTAAATACTTAATATTTCCAAAGCTCAGTACAGACTTCCAAATTACTTTCCAAAATTTAATAAGAATGCATGAGAGTGCCACATCACCTTCACCAATGAGTATCAGTTTTATACTTCACATTTTATTAGGCTTTGTAGAACATGCAGGCTTTGGTTCATATAGTGAAATGACTAGCACTGTCATTCATGTAGTGAAATGACTAGCACTGATTAGTCATTTCATATAGTGAAATGACTCCACAAGGTGGAGCTAAAAACACAAATATATTTTACAAGTACCAATATTTCTCTCACAATGCTATTCCTGAAATACTATAGGGAGTTTTTCTTTTAGTAATAATTTTGAAGCATTAGAGACAAAACTTTGGATTGAATTTTAAATATGAAAGTTGGAATCAGATTTATGAATCTGTACATGGGACAATTTTTCTCAAAATGTTTATGTTTCTCTTTCCATCTTGAATATAATTGAAATAATTTTTAGAATCAAATACCTCTCAAAGAAGGCAGTAATAAAGATAACTGTGCCAGAGAAACAATAACATACTATTTAGGTGGGCTTTTTAAAAGTATATTTTTTAATTTAATAAGACATTCTATCTTTATCATAAGAACTGTAGGAAATAGAGGAAATCTATGAGCCAATGGTCCAGAAACAATGACAACTTTTAGTAGGCAAGACCATTAGGTAAGTATTAATTTATAATGGATTAATGGACCTAAGACTGTATCAGCTATTAGGAAGTTAAATCTCAGGAATTCTAAAACATAGCTTTGAATCATGGATACAACTGATATTCTACTACATCCTAACAAATACCTTTCCTCTTTCTCTATCAAAATCTTCTGCCCATCACCCTTTACACACACACACACACCCCCTTAAGTATCTTAAAGGATAGAAATGAATTTGGTGATTAGTTCTATTCTCTAATGCATCTGACAAATAAAAAAAGAATTAAAAAAAAAAAAAATACATCTGAAAATAACATTTTCAGCCTGACTTTTCAACTGTGTGGAACTGGTTTTTTACCTTCTGTCATCTAGTAATCTTCCACCAATCTGTATAGTTCCAGGCCCAGGATGTATAACTAAAGTATACATTCCTGATCCTTTGTCCCTGCCTCTGACAGGCAATTACTAAGGTTCTTTTTCTTCACTATCCAAGTTTTTCTCCAATATCCTTAGGTAGAGCTAGGTACGCAAAAGTGAGGAACATGGAGCCAGAGTTACTATCTCACAATTCAACTGTCTTCACATAATCCACATCCTTCTTCTAGCAATTACCACTTAATTACATTCCCTTGATGTCTAGAACTCATTATAAGGTTCATTTCTGAATCAATAATTTTAAAGAAAAAGAAAACCACTACCAAAACTAGAATTAAGGAAATATAGTATTGTGAAAACAGTCTAATGCCACCTCTGTCAATATGAAAATATGTTTATAAAATGTTTCTGAAGAAAGCACATACAAGCACAATTACCTTCCTTCTATTACTTATACCTTTTGTTCTAAGAGTGCCCTACGGAGGGAGACCCTCTGTTCAAGCTCCCGAAGCTCTCGATCATGTTGTGCCTCGGCTTGCATCTTGATTTTGCTCTGATATGCATTCAACAGCTCCAGTTCCTGCTGTAGCTGCATCTTCAAAACCTGGCACTCTGCTTCCTGTGCTTCATCCAAACGCAGCTGAAACAGAAAGAAAACAGATATATCCTACTGTGAGCTATCTATTCATGACCTATGGAAAAGAGTGTGAGAGAAGACAGATTACTCTTGTAGGATACGTGATTGTTCTCTCTTGTATCTTAGAGTAAACATCTCTGAAAAAGGATGGCACAGTAACCCATGGTGACATAAAGATAACGTTATCATAAGCTATTTGGAGCATGCCTAAATAACCATATTTTTCTTAAGAAATATTTAGAATCTGATTAGGTGATATAAGACTCTGAATCTCTTTTCTTCAATGGAAATAAATGCAAAACAGGGACTAGCAAAACTACAGCCTATGGGCCAAACCTGGGCAGCTGAGTGCCTGCGCGCATGCGTGTGTTTTAAACAGCCCACTAGTTAAGAATGGTCTTTACACTTTGAAATTTTAAATGGCTATATAAGTACCTACAGAATATCATCAATTTTGCCTCCTGGCCCACAAAGCCTAAAATACCTACTATCTGGCCCTTAAGAAAAAGTTTACAATGCTCATATAGACAATATTTTATATTAGCACTCAAATGTGACCATTTGGATTTTCAATTAGTATTTTTTGCCCAATGCTTAACAATGCTGCTGTTCTAACCTTCATAAGCTGTTGGGATATGTACTAAACATCTGAGAGGTACCGGCAGAAAGCTTATTTAGAACTTCGTGCCTAAATGGATCAATGAGAATTCTACAAATATGATGTCTGCTTCCAAGCAATGCTGAGAACAGGAAGAATACGAAATACTACCACTATTTCCCAAGCTGTAGAAGAGCTATCACTTTCAACTAATATTTTAATTGCTGGGATTTTATTCAGATGGCAGAAAGAAAGGGACGCTGAATTGTTTTGTCTAAATAAAATTAACTCACAGCTTGTGTGGACAGCATTTCATTAATACTGTGGTCATACTGCTCAGCCAAGATGGCTAACTTCCGGGTCTGCTCCTCCTTGAGACGTTTCAGAACAGCTTTGTGCTCACTCTTTGGTGTAGTCTCCAGTAGGTGATTTCTTAATGCTTTGTACTGTCTGGTTTGGATTTTGCAAGTGTCCTGAAACTGCTTTTTTATTTGGAGTTCTTTAGACTAGGAAGAAAAAAATAGACGTATATAATTTTAACATATGGTATTTGGTATATCTTATGCTTACATGAAAACAAACACTACTTAAAGAAAGGGGAGAAAAAACAAAAAGGTCAGATCACAAGGTTGCAGGTACTGGGTCAAACCACTGAATTCTATATACTTTTTTATAACAAAACTCTTAAATCATGAGAATACCAAGCACCTCATTTATCACAGGGTTTCAAGCAATACTCATTATTTTGCTAGTAAGTTTAGTGACTTGAGTAAATATAAAATTTTGTTTTGATTACTGTATATATTGATAGAAAATTAAATCTCTTTTCATGCATTAAATGTAGTAGATATAAAAGCACTATATAAATGTAGTAGATATAAAAGTAGATATGGCCAGACAATATTGTATCAGACTCTGAGGCATTAAATAAGCATATTTACTTTGTTCCTTATCTGAGATACTTTGCTCCAATAACAATCTCAATCCAACTTCATAGTCTATGACAGACCCCATAAAAATTAGGTATTAGTAACTAATACTGTTGTTACAATTGGTCTTTATCTTAAGGGAATAAACTAGGTAGAAACATATTTAGTAATAGTTTACTCTTTAACTCTGCAACCAAAAACTTGAAAGTCAGTAGAGTTAACTAATCTTTCAAATGTCAAACAAAAGTTATGGGCAAGGGAGGGGACGACCCTTCTTGGGGTGATGATAAACATGAACTACATAAACATTTCTGTGATAAAATAATTTGAGTTCAGAGACATAAGAATTTTGGCTTTAGTTTTTGGTTAATCATAGGTTAGGCATCCCATGAACTCAGGTTTTAACAAAACTTAATAAGGTGAAATATGTTTCTATAAGGTGTACTGATCAAGCCTACTGGTGAGAATATATTCATTTACTACACTAAGGCAGAACCTACAGTTGAAATTATACCTTAATATAAATATCACCAGATATTAATTGGTTGATTCAGTGTGCAACGAATGCATATATGACCAAAGTAATACACTTGTCAAGGAAGTAGTTGTTTGCCTCCCCCACCCATTCTATATCATCAAATATAACCTTTCCATATTTTATACCAACTGAGGCACTAAGTCATGGTCATATACCTTTATTCTGTGAAGGGTCAATAAATGTCTAGCTAGAAAGAGAAACTTTTGGCTTAGCTATGCTTAATAGCATGGCTCTTAAATACTGCCCTCAGTTAAAAAAACTCTTCCAAGTTAGCCAGGAACGGAACAGTGAAATTTAGACATTGTCTTCTGCCTCTGTATAGTAGCCTCCACTCCTTTAAATTTTTTTATTTTTTAAATATTGTGCCAAGATAACTATAATCATTCCATATCATTAGCCTAATGAGAAAAAAAAGGACTCCTTGAAAATAATTTTTTTCCACTTAATGATTTTTTCCCAGTTTTACTGAAAAATTGATATATATCACTGTATAAGTTTAAGGTATAGAACACGATGGTTTGATTTACATATATTGTGAAATTATAATAGGCTCAGCTAACATCCATTTTTTCATATAGGAATTTTTTCCTCAACAAGAAGGATAATACTTATACCAAGAATAAACTATATCCCTCAGTGTTTGACTCAGTGAAAGCAAGATGAATGTAAGTTAGTTGTTTCTACTCATTTAACACTGACAAAGCACCAGTTGGATGGCCAATGAAGAAACAGCAGAGCAGGCAATAGGTGTTTACCCAACACATTTCATATAAACGGTACTCCAACCCCAACAAATCTTAGTCAACTTAAATGCTCAAACTGTAGCTCCCCTACCCACCTTTAAAATCTTGGAGAAAGTTGGAAGAGGTAACTACTTCTTAGATACATAAAAATAGGATAACTTGGTGTTAAAATCTAGTCTGTTTTATTCAAATTGAGTAAGTAGATAGATATACACAACTAAGAGGAACATGGTGATTTTCTTTTCTACTAAACTAACAAAACAATTTCTTTTATTGGAATTCTTGAGCTCATCTGTCATCAGAAGGAGGCATTCTATCCAAAATCTATGATTGTGAAACATTATTATTCTCCTCACTTTTTGTGTAGTATCTGCAAAAATCAGACTAGTGTGTACAAGTTTTCAAACTGAAAAGGCTCCAACAGGAAACTCTAAGTGTTAAAAATCAAACAACTATTTATCTCAGAGAAATGCAGTCATATCAGATTTACAGTATAACTACAGAAAACTAATAAGCTTTCAGTATGGTTTACTTCTAGATGCTGCTGACTTTAAAACCATAGTTAATTTCACAGACATGTTGTTTTAAAAATCTATTCTGTAGCCGAAGAGTACATACTTCTCTACTAAAAAGGCAAAATAAATCTGAAAAATCATTATGAATTGCAATTTTTCTAAGTAATGACTAACAAAAGTTATGTGGGTAGTCAACATAAGCTACATTATAAATGATATTAATTAGCTGTTTTGAAGACACAGCAGAGTGAAATTTTACTCAGGTTCACAACAAAGGGAAAAACAGCTGTTCTTCTTTATTTGTTCAGAACAGCTTGTTTGACTGGAATTGGGTAGGAATTGGAGATACCACTGGATGTGGTGTAGCTTCTACATTTTGACTTAGAATATCTCTGAATGAATTTCACTTCATTCCAGGACAGTTATTCATTTCAGACCAAGAATTGTTTTATTGTTTAATTATCAAATAGTTTTGAAAAGAAAGAAGGGCTTAAAAAAGAAAATACTATGGAATCTGGGCCTTACTAGATATAAATAAAAATTTTAAATGTGAAGACATGTACAGATTGAGGCAATAATATGGTTAGTAGCCTATAGAGTAGGTGGTTTTTGTTTATTAAGAGTCATGTGACTATACTCCTTCAAATATTTATTACAAGTCATAAAACTTGAAAATTTCTTGGAATTGTTAACTCTGGTTGACTTTGGTGAATGGGGCTGGACCAGGTGGCTGAAGAGACAAGGGGAGAGAGGGAGACCTTTAACTTTATAAGATGCTTTGGTATCGTTCAAATTTCATACCATGTGAATGAATTCCTCTATTCAAAGCAAATATAAAATTTAAAGTCCTGAGATGATTCCACTATTCCTCTTAAGATGAGTATTGATCGTGAAGGGAGAAGAATTAAAAAGGTATTTTTTCATTCACTGGCTTCTCTAATGATAAGAAATTTAAGCGTCTGTTTTGCATACAAATCATATTTAGAGCAAATAACATTCCAAAACTATATTACTTGGAACTGAGAGAAGCCAACAAGTTAGCATGGTGACATGTAATATCAGCACTGAACAGCTGGGTACATTTAAAATAAGAATTTTGATTCTTATTTATGGCACTTCTCATAGTTAAAATTTGGCCATTTTGGAGTACTCTGCTGAGAAATACATAAGCAAAAGTCTGTAGCTACAGCTACTCCACATTAAAACTAACCAAATATACTTAAAATGAAAGAAAATAGTCAATTTCTTTATGACAGACATCTATCTGTCTTAAGACTTTTACTGTTTATATGGATGCCTTTTATCTCTTTTTCCTGTCAAGAAGCTTAGACTAAAGATACCTTCAGGCTCTTGGGCTGTTGTCGAACCTCCATGACATGCTTTCGCCTTAGTTCTCGTTCTCTTCGCTTATTATATTCCAGCTGGTTAGTGAGCTCAGTTTGATGCTGCAATCTGATCAGCTCACAGCGCATCTTCTGAATTGTGTTGAGGTGGCGGAACTCCAGTTCCTGCATGGACTCATGCTGTCGCAGTAGCATGGCATGCTCTAAGTCCTTTTGGGTCTGCCTTTTATTTAATTCCTAATCCATAACACAAAAGACAAAGGTATACTTTACTGCTATATAATGCCAGGAAAAAAAATCCCAAGAAACAGATTAACTAAGAAATAGATGTAATCCTCTTATTCAATAATGGCTTCATAGTAAATATTAGAGTTTTATGACTTTCACTGTAGTAAATGGGCAATTAGGAGCACAGATTTCCATATTCTATTCATTTACTATTCATTAATACTATTTTATGCAGTAAGCTTAAAACATACCAAATCTATCTCAAGAGGCTTAATGTATTTCCTTCTTTTATTGTTTCCTAATTTTATATCTGATGAGGGCTCCTAAGACATCTTTTCAATTTCTTCAGTTTACTATTCAATCCTACTACATGTAATACACCTACTATAGTGTGGTGATTAAGAACATGGACTCTAGAGCTACTCTGCCTGTATTCTAATTCCTGCTTCTGCTACTTATGAGCATTAAGTCCTTGGGTCAGTCCTTGTGCTTCAGTTTCATAACTTCTCAAACAGAAATAATAATAGTTATTTTCTAGAGTTAATGCGAGGATAAAATGAGTTCGCAAATGGAAAGTTCTCGAAATGATACCTAGCACATGATACTCAATAAATATTATTTCTTTTTTCGGATTAAAAAGAACAAGTATACAATACACACAAATGTAGAAGTCAAACTTGCCCCTTTTGCCTCTGCAAACTCATTCTCCAGAGGCCAACAGTTGGTATAAATGCTTCTCAACCTTCTCTATCCTTATTATATCTATTATATAAAAACATACAGTTTTAAAAGCTGAATAATAATATATATTATAGGCATGTAATGTGCTTTCTTCACCTAATAATATAATGGACATATATCTAGATCAGATCAGTACATATAAATTTTTTTCTAAGTTTCATAGTAAGCTTCTGTTTTGCAATACCATAATTTTTCCATTTTTTGCTTTATAAATAAAATTCAATAAATATGCATGATGCATCATATAATCATGTTATTATCTCTTCAGAACACATTTCTAGAAATGGATTTAATGGGTAAAAGCATACGTGCATACTACATTTTAAAAGCTACTTTTCAATTATGCTCCAAAAGGGCAATATCAATTTATACTCTTACCAACATTGCCCATTTCCCCTTGCCACTACTAGGACTTGATGTCACCAATCTTTTAAATTGTTCTTATCTAACTGATGTAACTTTTAATAAGAATTTTTAAATTATTAGTGAATGTGAACAATTATGCTATATTTAAAGTTTATTTTAAGCCACTCTTAGAAATAAATTTACCTATGCTCATAGGTATCTCTGATGAGAACAACTATTTATTTCATTGGTATAAGAGTTTCTACATTTTCTCAATTAATAATTACATGATTATTAAATGTGTTAAATAATAACACACTTCATGACACCCATTTCAGATCAAAAGGCATTAAATTATCCAATTTATTTTCTCACATTTAAAAATTAATTTTCATTAATGATTTAATATTTATTATTTTTAAATAAATATAATATTTGTTGAATGCTTATTATGAGCCAGATACTAGGATACAAAGACCTGAATAAAATCTGTGACTTCATATAATTTCTATTTTAAGGGGGTGCAGGAGAGAGAGACTTCCTCCAAAAAAGTGTGTGTATATAAAAGAAAAAGTACAAAGAACATTTTAAAAAAGGAGAAGGATTCTGTCATCAGGGAAGACATTTCTGAGGAGGTGACATGTGAAGAGAGATATGAAAGAAGGGAGAAAATAAGTCATATCTATATCACGGGATGTAGGCAGAGGGAAGTTCAAGTACAAAGACTCTGAGGCTAGGATATGACAGACCTTTTTTCAGGAAATATTCTGATTTCACATCATTCAAACATACCTCCCTGACAAGGTCCTGCTCCAAGTTATGGCGCCCAAGTAACATTCTTCTCTTGAAGCGACGGCATTCCAGCTCTAGGTATTGTCTCTGACGTCGAAGAAGATTAGCCTCTTCTTCTGCTTGGAAATGCTGTATATTCTCCTTTTGCTTTGAAAGCCACTCCTGTTTTTCTTTTTTTGGAGTGCTCTGGTTTTCATTCAGCTCCTAGCAACATAAAAAAAAAACTTAGTTCAAAATACATAAAAATTAACTACATGAATCTACCATTTGGTATCTGGTAAATTTAAATAAAAGTACTTTATCTGTGTCCTCTCAAATGCTCAGGCAGGGCAATGACCTTAAGGAGGTAAGTAATACTTTCCCTTTCTTTGCATTACCTATGAAGTAGGACAGGAAAAGAAAAATGTACACTAGAAAGCATGTATACCTTTTAACTTGGTACAGTAACATTTATGATAGTTTCTAGCTTCAAAAGCACAAAATGATTGGTAAATGAAGTAAAATACATCTTTCTTTAAATGCTTCCTGAGACCGAAGGCAGTGCTTTCAGATAAAACTCGTATGTGAATTAAACTTAGAGCTAAAATAGTTATGTTTCAGTTCTTGGTTTGACAGTCTAAACATTAAGTTTTTGGCAAAATTATGGATGGACTAAATATAAAAGCATTAGAAATTAAATTGAATATTAACAAAACATAAGAGAATAGAAACCTTCCTTATGAATGGTATTTAATATTGAACATTAAGAACTACAGAACAAATCAAAACCAATGTTTTTCTACAGCATTTTAAATGTCATCTCATAAACTACCTAAATGAAATACATGTATATTGGGCAAAATGAGAGCACTGACGATACACTCAATGAGGTAAACCCTAGGATGCTAATTAATAGTATAATTTCAACCTAAAAAGCATCAACATTGCACAGAATATAAATCAGCACAGAATATAAATCACCTTTCCTAAGTATGATTTTTCAGAGACTACTAACGTTATGGTCCTTCCCCTGTATTCAAGAAAAAGACCAATTCTATAACTTTAGTTCATAAAATATTCAAACACATAAAAACAGAAAGCACATAAATCAGTAGCTCTCAATGTAAGACTGTATGTGTATGTACACAATGGGAAGAGAGACATACATAGAGAATCACCTGGGTATCTTTTTCAAAACTTTTGCCAGGGAACATCCCCACCAAGACTCTAGTATGATCCTTCCTCTATATAGAGAATCATTATACTAAATAAACACACATAAACTTGGCTTCTAAAAGAAAATAAATTTATTAGTAGGACTATACGCTATATGCTTAAAGGATTATCTAAACCAATGTACCTATAAAACAAAAATTTCATTTCAATGGGAAGTAGAACTATAGTACTGCGTTTTGTTGAATATTTGTTTAAAGTTTAAACAAATTTGTTTAAACCCGATTTACAATCTTTTAAAACTCAATGTTCAAATACAGAGTTTGCTTCTGTATTATAGTCGTGAGAACATATTTCAGGTTACACCCTTTAGAGTTGGAAAAATCTTGTCAATGATGCTCACTTGGCAGGGAATATATAGCAAGTCCTTGTGTGACCAATATGTCCATAATAAAAGTTATTTATGTGATTGTAAGGCAAATTCCTACACACACAAAAGCATTAACATCAAAGAGATTACTGTTATCAAGATCAATTAATTTACCACTGTGCTAATAATTAATTACATGGATTAAAATTTTCAATCAATCTGTAAGAGGGAATATATCATTTTTATGTCCTCAACACTACCCTGAATAATTACTCCCTTTCAGAAATTACCTTGGAACAATTGAGGCTTTCTTCAAAGTTAAACTATATCTGCTTTTAAAAGAAGTTAAAGAGAGCAGCTTATAAAGGGCAAATGAATATGAAATCATATGGCCATAAAGAAATAATCAACATGTTCTCCTGTTAAAGAGCAAATATGCCCCTTATCCTTATTCTATGTTAAAATCAGAATAAGAACAAATTGTTATAATCTTCTGAGCCAAAAGTAAGAAAGAAGGTATGGTTTACTTTTAGAGAAATATGTGACTTTTTATCACAGCTCAAATGTTTTTATTTATAATGAGCCAGTTACTTAATAAATGGATAGAAAAGCTATTATAAATAAAGTAATTTATATTTTCAGGAGATAATTATAGATCCTACTCAAGTGAAGATTCTCAGTTCGCTAATAAGTAATTGATTATAATTGATGTCTTCATTCAAACTGATATACATTTAGTGGCCACAACAACAGAAGAAAAATTTATTCTGCATAGGGAACATAGTCAATAATATTGTAATAATTATGTATGGTGCCAGGTGGGTACTAGACTTAGCAAAGAGATCACTTCATAAGTTACACAAATGTCTAACCACTATGTTATACAACTGAAACTAACATAATATTGAATATCAACTGTAATTGCAAAAATAATGAAAAGGAGTTCAAGATGGCAGAGTAGGTGGATGCTATGTTTGCCTCCTCCCATGACAGCATTAAAATTACAATTAAAATACAGAATGATCAACCTAAAGAACCATCTGAAGACTAGATGAACACAAGTCCTATAACTAAGGATATAAGGAATTCACACCGGGACTGGTAGGAGTGGCAGATATGCAAAATGGGATGGCCCCTCTCCCATGTGTGGCAGTTGAGAAAGGAGGGATATCTCGGCTGCAGAGGTACCCCCTGAAGAGTGAGGGGTCCCAGCCCCACACTGGGTTCCCCAGCTCGGAGCACCAGTGCTGGGAAGAGCAGCCCACAGAACATCTGTGAAAATCAGTTGGGATTCTGTCTCCTTGATAAGATAGAAGGCAGCTGGAAAACCCAGGCATCCTCTTAAAGGGCCTGGGCACAGACTCCCTCACTCCCAGGAACTCACCCTGAGCTTCTGCAGATGGATAGCAAGTGGGAAGGTGCCAAAGACATAACAGGGAAAGACTGAATGTGTGGCTTCTAGGCAAGGGCTAGATGAAAAGCCGCCACTGTTTCCATGTTGAGCCCCACACCACCATCCCCCGCCTCCCCCCTCGGCTAGATGTGAATTTCTCTTGGCCTGGTGAGCTCAGCTCACTCCACCCTGGTGACTCCCCAGGACTCTGCCCCACCCAACTTAGCAATGCCAGAGGCTTTTCTTTTGTGGCTGGCAGGTAGCTGTTGTTCGCCAGCATTGCAGTTTTTCTTGGACAACTCTCAGGGGTTCCCGCAGGCCCACAGTGGGTCAGAGGTGGCTGGCCTCAGTGGGCTTTCAGTCTTTTGCAAAGGGGCCCCAGGCTCAGCATAGGTGCCAAATCTGAATCTGCATTAACCCATTGAACACTACTCGCCCTACACTGGTGACTCCTCAAGATCCTGCTCCACACAACTCCTATATCACCTGAGGTTCCTTCAGCAGCTGAGCCTTATGGACAGGTGGCAGGCAGTAACGGGCCTAGGGGATCAATGGGCCTTTAGCTTAGCTGCCCCAAGCCCAGTACTGGTGACAGCTGGCCTTGATTCACAGAGTGGCTTCGTCCACAGAGTGGCACCTCCAAGTCAAGCACAGGCAGTGACCAACTGTGAATCTCTTTGTAGCTCCTACCAGGTAGCCCTGGACCAGGCAAAGGCAGTGGCTGACCTTGGTCTGTACAGGCGCTCCTTTTAAGAAGCCCCAGAACCAGCACACCTGGTGGCCAGCTTCAAACCATAAAAGATCACCACCTGATTAGCCCCACAAATGGTATACACCAGAGTCCTCTGAGACAAATCCCATTTCATGGGGTCAGCCCTCACAGAGTAGTTTGTATGCTGTGGGCATGGCCAATTCTCATAACCAGTCAGACCGAGGGTCAGTTCCATCCACTGATATGCCAACAGCAATCAAGGCTTACCTACAACAGGTCACACACAACCCACACAAGGGACACTTCTAGAACACCTGACTCAGGTGATTGGGAAGATTGTGCCTCTGGGCCCCAAAGGGCACCTAGTACGTAAGGTCTGCCAAGACTGGGAGACATAGCAGAAACAAATATAGAGTGGCAGCCAAAATGAGGAAACAAAGAAACATGTCACAAGTGAAAGAACAGGAGAAAACTCCAGAAAAAAAAGAAACAAAATGGAAGCAAGCAATTTACCAGATACAGAGTCCAAAACAATGGTTATAAGGATGCTTAAGGAACTTAGTGAGCACTTCAACAAAGAGATAGCAACTATAAAAAAAAAAAAGCATAGAAATCATAAAAATGAACCAGTCAGAAATGAAGAATACAATAACTGAAATGGAGAATACACAAGAAGGAATCAACATCAGATTGGATGAAGCAGAGGATCAAGTCAGCAGTTGGGAAGATAAGGGAGAAGAAAACATCCAATCAGAACAGCAGAAAAAAAAAAAAGAATAAAAAGAAATGAGGACCGTTTAAGGCTCTGGTCCCCACACTTTTTGGCACCAGGGACCAGTACTCCTGAGACTCTAATGCCTGATGATCTAAGGTGGAGCTGAGGTGGTGATGCTAGTGCTGGGGAGCGGCTGCAAATACAGATGAAGCTTTGCTCACCTGCTGCTCACCTCCTGCTGTGCGGCCTGGTTACTAACAGGCTATACCTGTACTGGTGCACGGCCTGGGGTTGGGGACCCTTGGTTAAAGGGACCTCTGGGACAACATCAAGTTAACAGCATTTGCATCATAGCGGTACCAGAAGGAGAAGAGAGAGAACAAGGTTTTGAGAACCTATTTGAAGAAATAATGACTGAAAACTTCCCTAACCTGGCGAAAGAACCAGACATACAAGTTCAGGAAGTAGAGAGAATCCCAAACAAGATGAACCAAGAGGTCCACATGAAGACACATCATAGTTAAAATGCAAAAGGTCAAAAACAAAGAATCTTAAAAGCAGCAAGAGAAAGGCAGTTAGTTACCTACAAAGGAGCCCCTGTAAGACTGTCAGCTGATTTCTCAACAGAAACTTTGTAGACCAGAAAGGATAGCGCAAAATATTCAAAGTGATGAAAAGCAAGGAACTTTTTTACAACCAAGACTACTCTACCCAGCAAGGCTGTCATTTAAAATTAAAGGCAATATAAAGAGCTTCCCAGACAAGAAAATGCTAAAGGAATTCATCACCACCAAACTAGTATTACAAGAAATGTTAAAGGGACTTCTTAAGAAGAAGGGGGGGGAAATAAACAAAAAAGGAAACATAAATATGAATAATAAAATGGCAATAACTATGTACCTATCAATAATCACTTTAAGTGTAAATGGATTAAATGCTCCGATCAAAAGACATAGGGTAGCTGAATGGATAAGAAAACAAGACCCATACATATGCCGTCTACAAAAGACATACTTCAGACATACTTTCAACGTGTGAGTCAAAAAACACACACAGAAAGTAAAGGGATGGAAAAAGGTATTTCATGAAAACGGAAACGAAAAGAAGGGTTATGATAAGACACAAAGAGGGACATTACATAATGATAAAAGGATCAATCTAACAAGAGGAAATAAATCTTGTGAACATTTATGTACCAAAAATAGGAGCACATAAATAAAGCAAATATTAACTAATATAAAGGGAGAGACTGATGGCAATACATTCATAGTAGGGAACTTTAACACTCCACTGATATTAAGGGATAAATCTTCCAGATATAAAGTCAACGAGAAAACAGTGGTCTTAAATGACACATTAGATCAGATGGATTTAACTGATATTTTTAGAGCACTTCACACCAAAGCAGCAGAATATGCATTCTTTTCAATACAGACCACATGTTAGGCCAGAAAACAAGTCTCAATAAATTTAAGACTGAAATCATATCAAGCATCTTCTCTGATCACAATGGTATGAAACTAGAAACCAATAACAAGAAAAAAATGGATAAAACACACAAACACATGGAGGCTAAATAACACACTACTGAACAATGAATGGGTTAACAATGATATCAAGAAAGAAATAAATCTACAGCCATGCTACCCTGAACACGCCCAATTCCGTCTGTTCTTGGAAGCTAAGCAAGGTTGGGCCTGGTTAGTACTTGGATGGGAGACCACCTAGGAAGACCAGGTGCTGCAGGTATTAAAAAAAAAAAAAAGAAAAGAAAAAGAAATAAAAAAAATATCTTGAGACAAATGAAAATAAAAACATGACTAAAATTTATGAAACACAGTGAAAGCAATCCAAAGGAAATTCACAGCAATACAGACCTACCTCAAGAAACAAGAAAAATCTCAAATAAACACAATCTAACCTTATACTTAAAGAAACCAGAAAAAGAAAAACAAAAACAAACAAAGCCTAAAGTTAGTAGATGGAAGGAAATAAAGATCAGAGCAGAAATAAACAAAATAGTCTTATAAAACAATACAAAAGATCGATGAAACCAATAGCTGGTTCTCTGAAAAGACAAACAAAATTGATAAACCTTTAACCAGACTCATCAAGAAAAAAAAGAGGATCCAAATAAACAAAATTAGAAATGAAAGAGGTAAGTGACAACTGATACCACAGAAATACAAAGGATTATAAGGAAATATTATAATTATCTATCAAGAAATTCAACAATCTGGAAGAAATGGATAATTCCCACAAACATGCAATCTTCCAAGACTGAATCAAGAACAAATAGAAAATCTGAACGGACTGATCACTACTAACAAAATAGAATCAGCAATCAAAAACTTCTCACAAACAAAAGTCAGGCTAGATAGCTTCACAGGTGAATTTTACCAAACATTGAAAGAAGAATTAACATCTATCCTTCTAAAACTATTGCCCAAAATTCAAGAGGAAGAAAGGGTTCCAAGCTCATTTCACGAGGCCACCATTATCCTGATTGCAAAGCCAAAGACACTACAAAAAAAGAGAATTATAGGCCAACATCCCTGATGAACATAAGATCCTCAGCAAAATACTAAAATCCTCAACAAAATACTAACAAAACAAATTCAGCAATACATTAAAAAGATCATACACCATAATCAAATGATTTATTCCAGGGATGAAAGGCTTGTTCAATATCCACAAATCAATTAATGTGATATAGTAAACAAAATGAAGAATAAAATTCATCTATTGATCATATCAATAGATGCAGAAAAAGTCTGACAAAATCCAGTATCCATTTATGATAAACTCCCAGGAAAGTGGAAACAGAGGGAACATACCTCAATATAATAAAAACCATACATGACAAACCCAGAGCTAAAATCATACTCAACAGTGAAAGGCTAAAAGTGTTTTCCTTACAATCAGAAACAAGACAAGGATGCCCACTTTCAACACTTTCATTCAATATAGTATTGAAAGTCCTAGCCACATTAATCACACAAGAAATAAAAGGCATCCCAATTAGAAAGAAGTAAAACTGTCATTATTTGCAGATGGCATGATACTATATAGAGAGAATCCTAAGGATTCCATCAAAAAACTATTAGAACTGATAAATGAATTCAGTAAAGTAGGATACAAAATTAACATTCAGAAATCAGTTGCATTCCTATATACCAATAGTGAATTATCAGAAAGAGAAATTAAGAAAGCAATCCCATTTACATTGTAAAAAAAAAAAAAAAAATACCCAGGAATAAATTTAACCAAAGAGGTAAAAGACTTATGCTTGGAAAATTGTAAGACATTGAAGAAAGAAACTGAAGAAAATACAGATAAATGAAAACATACTGTGCATTTGGATAGGAAGAATAAACATCGTTAAAATGTCCATACTACCCAAAACAATCTGTAGAGTCAATTCAATCCCTACCAAAATACGAATGGCATTTTTAACAGAACTTGAACAAATAATCCTAAAATTTATATGGAGCCATTAAAGACCCTGAATAACCACAGCAATCCTGAGAAAGAAGAATAAAGTTGGAGATATCACAGTAGCTGATATCAAACTATGTTACAATGCTATAGCAATCAAAACAGCATGGTAGCAGCATAAAAACAGACACACAAGACAATGGAACAGAATAGAGAGTCCATAAATAAACCCATGCCTTAGTCACTTAATTTATAACAAAGGAAGAAAGAAAATACAATGGGGTAAAGACAGTCTCTTCAATAAATGGTGTTGGGAAAACTGGATACATGCAAAAAAATAAAACTAGATCACCTTCTTACATCATATACAAAAATAAATTCAAAGTGGATTAAAGCCTTAAATGTAAGAACTGAAACCATAAAACTCATAGAGGAAAAAGACAGTAAACTCTCTGACATTGCTCTTAGTAATATTTTTTCTGATATGTTGCCTTGAGCAAGGAAAACAAAAAGAACAACAAAAAAACAAATGGGACTACATCAAATTAAAAGGTTTTTACAGCAAAGAAAAACATCAACAAAATGGAAAGACGACCTAATGAATGGGAGAAGATATTCACAGCTGATTAAGGAGTTAATATCCCAATTTTATAAAGAACTCAAGCAACTTAACACTAAAAAAACTAGAAATTAAAACTGGGCAGAAGACCCAAAAAGACATTTCTCCAAAGAGGACATACAGATGGCCGATAGACATATGAAAAGCTGCACAATGACACTAGTCATCAGAGAAATGCAAATTAAAACCATAATAAATTTTACCTTGCACCTGTCAGAATAGACATTACCAATAAATCAAAAAACAACAGATGTTGGCAAGGATGTGGAGAAAAGGGAATCCCTCATGTACTGCTGGTGCGACTGCAAACTGGTGCAGACACTATGGAAAACAGTATGGAGGTTGCTCTAAAAATTACAAACAGAACTGCTAACTATGACCCAGCAATTCCCTTCTGGGTATTAATTTGAAGAAATCTAAAACATTAATTTGAAAAGCTATACATACTCCTATGTTCATTTCAGCATTATTTACGATAGCCAAGATATGGAAGCAACCTAAGTGCAATCAATAGACAACTGGATAAAGAAGAAGTGGTAATATATATACAATGGACTATTACTTGGCCATAAAAAAGAATGAAATCTAACCATATGTGACAACATGGATAGACCTGGAAGGTATTATGCTAAGTGAAACAAGTCAGACAAAGACAACTAGGATATGATATACCATACTTATATGTGGAATCTAAAGAACAAAAGAAAGAAACAAAACAGAAACAGATTCATAGATGCAGGGAACAAGCTGATGGTTGCCAGAAAGGAGGGGGCTGGAGGTGGGGCAAAAAAGGTAAAGGGATTAAGAATTATAAATTGGTAGTTATGAAACAGTCATAGGGATGTAAAGTAAAGTATAGAGAATAATAGTCAATAATATGAAAATAACTATGTATAGTGCTAGGTAGGTACTAGTCAGGAGAATTACCTTGTAAATTATGTAAATGTCTAACCACTATGCTGTATACCTGATACTAATATAGAATAATATTGAATGTCTACTATAATTGAAAAATCAAAAAAAGGCGAAAAGGGGGGAGTGAACGGGAATAAGTGGTTTGAACTTCCAGGTAAAAAAAAGATAAGTCATGAGGATGTGATGTACAGCATAGGGAATATATTAAAAAATATTGTGATAGTGTTGTATGATATCAGATGGTTGCTGGACTTATCATGGTGTTCACTTCTTTAGGTATATAAATGTTGAATGACTGTGGAATATACTTGAAACTAATACAATATTGTATGTTAGATATATTTTAATAAAAATCTTTAAAAAAAGAAAAGAAATTTATTAATGGTTCTTTGAGTTGATCAACATTGGACGTAATCAAGAATCAGATAACTTGGCTTGAAAACTTTATAAAATAAGTACCTCCTTAAGCTGTTCTTTTCGAAGTTTATATTCTCTTTTCTGGGACTCCAAAAAGCTATTTAGTTCTTTCTTCTGTTGGGCCTGAATATGTTGCTGGAATTTTTTCTCTTCATTGGCCATCACTTTAGCCTTTAAGAAATTTTAAAAATGGATCAAATTAGTTAAGTAGATAAGATTCAAAGCAGCAGTTTAATACTTTTCACCAAGGATACCTTTATTCTCCTTCCCCCAAGAACATAAAATCATTATGAGCATTACCAAATTAAGAACTCTCAAAAAATTATTAAGTATTACTCAGCATCTTTATCATTTGAATTTTAGAGAACCAGTAAAACGGAACTCACCTTTAAAATGCTGACCTTTAACAGTTCAAAAGTTTTCACGTTTTTTTTATTTAACAAGAGTATGCCCTCCCCCCACTAAAACTAAACAAATATACATTTATCTAAAAATATAATTATTATCTTTTATCTAGATTTATTTGTATATTAAATGACCAACATATATTAAATAATATAAAACTGTTAAATATATATTATTTATGATTATATATGCAATGCATATCCATTGTAGAACATTTAAGAAATACAGAAAAACACAAAGAATAAAAATCTTATATGATTTTAGTACCCAGAGATGACCAAAATAAACATTTTGGTGCATACCTTTCCTAATTTTTTCTATGCACGCATATTTTTTAAACAAATCTGTTTCATGAATTGCTTTCCTAAATACGTTAGTTTCTATCTCTTTCTAAGTTATTAAAAATACTACCCAATGCCCAACAGGATTCTAAATATTTGTACATTCTTTCACCAAATTATTTCAGAATCAAAATTTATTTACACCATAAATTATTTTGCCAACTTCTCTACCATAGTGAGAGAGTGTTTTTTTTTCTGGGAGCAAGGGTGGACAGAATAGCTATGATAATGCCTCAATGTGCAATAGCCAGACATATTTGATGATATTGTATGAATATACTGAGCTTACATTTTACTTGAAAAACGTGACTATCAAAATAAAATGAAACAGATGGGACACCAAAAACAGAAGAAAAGGTTTCACATAAGAAGAATCCTTAAAAATACACCTTTATCATATAATAGAATGATACTTATTTGTAAATAAACAAATGGGCTAAATCTTAATCTCTCTTAATTTATAACCTCTAACATGCCCTGTGTATATTATAATAATCTTCAATTACTCTGACAAAAAATCCTGCTATAAATTTCAAAACGTTTATGAAAAATACACAGAGAATTATGAAGGTTTTTTTGAGACCACAGAGAATTATGAATGATTTTTTGAGACCTAAACCACTTCTTAATGGGTAATCTATCAAACTTCTCAAATAACCAAGGTACCGGAGGCCTAGAACAGTTGAATGACTCATCACTGTAACACTATAAAACTATCAAGTGTCAGGAAATGATCCCTTGTCTATTGGTTCCCAGACTTAGTATTTGATATTATAACACATTATGTTAATATTTCTCCCTTTCCCCAAATGATTTGCTTGGTTCAAGAGAACAGATACCCTAACATCAAAATGCTACCTTGATTAATTCTAAGATGATTATTTTTGGAAAAATAATAATACTAAATTAGCCACCTCTTTTTCCATAGCAGCCTGATGTTTTTTGATAAGTTTCTCCATTTCTGCAGCAAAATTGTTACGCTGAGTTTCAAGATCTTTGTCTAATCTGAGGCGATGTTCATCCATCTCAGCCTTTAACTTATTTTCTAGAGTCATCAGCTGCTTTTGATGTTGTCTCCTCATTCTCTTATAGCCAGACATCTGTTCTCTAAGCTCGGAGTCCTGCTCATGTTCTTGCATTTGCCTGGTAACCTAGACAAACAAACGATAGAAAGAAAAGAATAAAACAAAGCAAAACTTTCTTACAGCATTTGAGACCACTGTACTATTAACTAAATAGGCAAGTAAAGTAAGATATCCCAGCTAGCAGTTTCCAGTTAAATTTCTAGTAAGTCTTTTAAACAAATAGACAAGCTGGTTCTAAAATTTATATGGGAATGTAAAGAACCCAGAATAGCCATAACAATCTTGAAGAGAAAAAAAAGTTGGGAGACGTACACTTCCGTAATCAAATTGGTATGGTTGTTAAGGATAGGCTGAAAAGATCAAAGGAACAAATCAAATCTAGAAACAGACCCATACACATTCAGTCAACTGATTTTCTACCAAAAGTTAATTCAAAGAGGAAGGGAAAGTGTTTTTAACAAATCTAGCCAAAACAACTAGTCCTCTGAATAAAAAAAATAAATAAACCTTGACTCCTATATCATTCCATACACAAAAATTAATTTGAAAAGAATCACTTAACCTTAACATTAAACCCAGAATCAAAAAGCAGAAGAAAACATAGAATATCTTCATGACCTTGGAGTAGGCAAATATTTCTTGGACAGTACACAAAAAGCAGAGACTACAAAGAAAAAATGCATAAATTGGATTTTTTGAGGTAAAATTCACATAGAATTAATCATTTTAAAGTGAACAACTCAGTAGCATTTAGTATATTCACATGTTATGCAATCACCAACTCTATCTAGTTACAAAATATTTTTATCACCTCAGAAGAAAACCCTATATCTGTAATGCAGTTGCTCCCCATTCTCCACTTCTGGTAACCACTAATCTGTTTTCTGTCTCTATGGATTTATCTGTCCTGGGTATTCGTATAAATAGAATCATATAATATGTGACCTTTTATGTCTGGCTTCTTTCATTTATCATGTTTTCAAGGTTCATTTATGTTGTAATATCATGTATCAGTACTTCATTCCTTTTTATAGCTGAATAAATTCCATTGTATATATATACCATAATTTGTTTATCTATACATCCGTTGATGGATATTTGTGTTGTTCTCACGTTTCAGCTATTGTGAACAGTACTGCTATAAATATGTATACACATACACTTGTTTGAGTACCTGTTTTCAGTTCTTTTGGGCATATACCTTGAAGGAGAATTGCTGGGTCATATGATAATTCTACATTTAACTTTTTGAGGAATAATCAACTCTTTTCCACAACAGGCAAACCATTTTATATTCCTACCAGCAATATACAGGAGTTCCAATTTACCCACAAGTTCTCTAACACTTGTTATTTTCCGTTTGTTTGTCTGTTTGTTTTTTTAAATAGCCATCCTAGTGGATGTGAGGTGGTACCTCATTGCGGTTTTGATTTGCATTTTACTAATGACTAATTATGTTGAACATCTTTTTATGTGCTTGTTGGCCATTTGTTTATCTTATTTGGAGAAATGTCTATTTAAATCCTTTATCCATTTTTTAACTGGGTTGTTTAAATTGAATTTTAAAACTAAAAAATGTTTCTCATCAAGACAACAGTAAGAAAAAGAATAGGTAAATCACAGATGGGAAAAATATTTGCAAAATATCTATGAGATCTAATACTTGTACTCAGACTACATAAAGAACTCCTACAAATCTATATGAAAAAAATGAGTAAGAAATCAGGTAAAAGACTTGAAGAGACATTTCACTCAAGAAGACATATGAATGGACAATTAGCACATGCAAAGGTGCTTACTGTGGTGACATCTTTAGTTACAGGGAAATGCAAAAAAAAACGAAAAAAAAAAACACAACACTATGAGATTCCATTTGATACCGACTAGAATGGCTAAAATAAAAAAGGCTGACAATGCCAAATGCTGGAGAGGATATGGACCAACTGGAACTATAACATACTGCTAATGGGAATGTGAAATGGTACAACCATTTTGGAAAAATGACAATTTCTTATGAAATGAAACATACTTATACCCTATGACTCAGCAGTTCTACCCTGGGTATTAACCAAAAAGAAATTAAAACATCATGTTCACATAAAGATTGTACAAGAACATTTATTACAACTTTGTGTGTAATAGCACAAAATGGGATTCAAGCCAAATGCTCATCAATAGAAGAATGGATTAAAAAAATAGTATATTCACACAATGGAAAACTATTAGTAATTAAAAAGATTGAACACAACAACATGGATGAATCTCGAAAACATTGATCAAAATAAGCCCAACACAAATGAATACATTATTTGTGATTCCATTTATATAAAATCCAAAAACAGTTAAACCTAAGCATAGTGAAGAAACAGAAAGTGGTGGTCATGAGAATGGAAAACTGACTAAAGTGGAGTATGAAGGGAACTTTCTGGGATGACAAGAAATTTTACACATCTTATTTTTTTAGGTGATGGTTAATATAGGTATGTACCATTGTAAAAACTCTTCAAACTGAATACCTAAGATCTGTGCATTTTACTGTATGAAAAAAAAGGCAGAAGTTAGACTGAGTTATGGTATATGGTATATGGTAAATAAAGTGAAATATATAGTTATGCTCTTCTATGGCATGTTCTTGACCCCATGCCATACAGATTCACGAGTCATAGCACAGGATTTACAAAATCTGCTTATGTAGTTGATAACTCAGAAAACCCACATCTCTTTTTTCTTTCTGTCATATCTTCCAAAAGCCTACTTTTCCTCTGATATTTTAATGTAATTTCTTTTTATCTCTAGTATCTTTTATCATGTTGTGGTCCTACTCATCTGACCATGGTTATAAGTACACCACTATAACAACCTTCTTGTAATTAAAAAAATCCATTTTTATTGTTGTTTGGGAAATCAGAAGAACTACACTTTGAGTATATCAAATTGATTACCTGATATTTCCCAAACATTCTCCCTCATTTTGGTTAGCCTCAGTATTTCCTTATTGTTAATTCTCATGTGAAAATAACACCTCTCCCTTGTGCCTAAAACTAATTATTTAAGGCTCAACAATTTTATAAATACTTCCTTTATGCCCCAAATTAAATTTGAATTCCTACTTAGTACCTTGTAGCCTTAAGCATTTAATACAGTCTAACATATCAGTTATTTGTATACTTGTCTTAAGACATTATTAGTTTAACATCTCTCAGAGCGCTTTCTATAATCTTTTTCATAATAGGCACTTAAATGTTAAATGAATGTTTTGCAAAATAAACCCCAAATACAAAAAAGTAAGATATAGTTATACTTGAGTATAGATGCCAAGGTCCAACATGAAAAATATATTTCTAATTCAGGGCACATACATACCAGTGATGCCGTCCGTATAGTAGCAAAGTGTTCTCGATTACGATAGTGTGATTTATGACGAGATACTTGGGGTGGAGATTGTGGATCTGATGCTCTTGTTCTGGGATCTCCCTCTTCTCTGTAATTTTCTTCCTCCTAGACAGAGAGAGAGAGACAATACTATCTGAAGTCAACAGTTCATTTGCACTTACAAGAAAATTAGTTTAAAGACAACTTGATTAACAAATCTCAAAGATATATTATTAAAAGCAAAAGCAAACAGAAATTGGCAATGTTAATATTTCATTTTCAACATAATTAGAACCAGGAGACATTATTTCTTCAGTGTATGAAATAGCACACAGCTAAGGAAATGTATAAGGCTAGATTTACATCCTACTCATTATATGCAAAATTGAAAAGCTTTAATATAGCTTAAAAACAAAGATGATGAAACATGCAGCTAATATTTTAAACAATAGTAATAAATTTCTCTAAGGCTCTTGGGTTTTAGAAGCAATAGCTTGAACACAACAACATAGCTTGAAAATATCTTTATAATACTTCTGCCATTTGTCCAAAATAAGTAATAAAAAAAGTTGTAAACATTTTAAGAACCAATGTGTTTCCTTATATACTACCTTAGTTCATTAACTAAAGAGGAAGTCAATTAAGTAGCAACCAACTAATTGTGGGCTTAATCTTTTCTATCACTGATTCTACTGCCTAAGAATATAAAAATTAAACATGATTTTGCTCTGAATAACACTACTACTTAACCAATCATTCCTAATAACTTTGGTATATGTGGTAAAATATATAAAATTTGCCATTTTAACCATTTTTTAGTATACAATTAAATGGCATTAATTATATTCTCAGTGTTGTGCAACTATCACCACATTACCAAAACTTTCTCATCACCCCAACTGGAAACTCTGTATCCATTAATAAAAACTCTCCCTTTCATCCTCTACTCAGCCCCTGGTAACCTCTAAACTACTTTCTATCTCTATGAATTTGCCTATTCTAGATATTTCAAATATGTAGAATTATACAATATTTGGCTTTTTGCATCCGGTTTATATTAATTAGCATAATGTTTTCAAGGTTCACTCATGTTGTAGTACGTATGAGAATTTCATTCCTTTTAATAACTGAATAATATTCCATTAGATGTATCTACTACCTTTTGTTTATCCATTCATCTGTTAATAGACACTTGGGTTGGTTCCAGCTTTTAGCTAATGTGCCTACTAACATTTTAGGTAATATCACAAGGTGTAAAATTAAAAATGAAGCATTCCTATTAAATGTTAGAAGGAACTAACTGATCTTCAAATACTTTCAAGAAAATTTAAAATTTCACACTCTAAAGTGCAAAGAATAATGTGGCAAACACCTATATTTCTGAAACTCAGAATATAATTTTCTGCAACTATGTACAGTTTAAAGATATAAACATTATGGTAATGTAAAGGTTACTTTTTAAAAAATGCACTTACTAGAATATTTGCTTCCCTCAAAAATATTTTCTTTTATACTAGTTTTATAAAAGGTAATGCATTTATAAGATTAAAAAATAAAATAAATTAAAAAAGAAGACAGTGAAAATTCTCCCTCCCATCCCTGCCCTTTCATCTCAGTTCTCCCAAAATAGCAACCACTATTAGATTCTTATGTATCCTCTGGAGATCCTTCTGGGTACACGAGCAAATAAGAACATGTTTTCTTATAGTTATCTTTTTACAGGTAACACTGTTCTGTACCTTTCCACTTTATTTTAACAATAGATCTTGGAGGTCTTTTTTCAGAATTGATTATAGAGGCATAGTATTCTACTAAATAGAGGTACTGTAATCTGGTTAACCAGTTAATTTTTTTGCTGTAACTAGTACTGCTTCAATAAATAACCTTGTACAGATTTCACTTTGCATATGTACAAGGCACATCTAGGGAGTAAACTGCCAGATCAAAGGGGGTGGGTGGGTGGGGGTTTGGGTGTGTGGGTGTGTGGGTGTGTGGGTGTGTGTGTGTGTGTGTGTGTGTGTATGCGCTATAAATTGGATGGATGCTGCCAATTGTCTGATTGTACCAATTTACACTCCCATCAGCGATCACTCAAGTGTGTCTTTGCTTAGAGCCTGGATACATAGTGCATTTAAAACTTTTTCAGTATTATAGCAAAAGTCACTTTTAATCACCCATCTTAACCGTTTCTACTATTCCCCAAAGACAATATGATCATGAATTTCATGTGTATAATTACTATTTTTAAGCACTTTATTTTTCCATCTAACTTCAAATAATATATTATATGGTATTTCTACATTGAGAATTAACAAGCCTATTGCCATTTTAAAATAAGTTACCTAAAAATGTTCCAAACTTCCGATACAGCTAAGAAAATATTAAACTAATCAGATGAAGAAAATTATTTACAAAACTTAAATTTTTTTTTCAACGAAACCCAGATACTCACAGGTTTTAAATGGATGACAGAACTATTAGACATCACTGTGTGATCTCCCTCCATCATGTCTAGCTCACTCTTGTCATCTGAGGCATCTGGAAGACTGTTAACACTACTGCTTTGGCTACTGGCACTGATGGACATACTGGGAATAGACTGATTACTTCCAACACTATTCACAGTTCCCGTCCGTCCAACACCATGATCTTGTTCCTAAGGGAAAACAACATTAGGTTCAAATATCTATATTTCTTTTGAATTCTTGATTTTAAGTACCTAGAGCGTTGCTTGGCAGTCTTAGAAAGTCAGAGGCCTATCATGAGAAATTCCCTTTACATGTCAAGATCAGGAAGATTAGCTATTATTACTTGACAGTAAAACAAAAAAAAGGACCAAAAAGTAAAAATAAAAAACCCAACCATGTAAAAAAGTCAGTTCATCAGTTTTGGGTTATTTCCAAAATGTAGCATTTTCTCTATATTGTTTCACATTTTTTGAAATCCATTTCTAGCACACATCTCGAGTTATATGTATATAGTCTGCTCTTTTCTCAATGATTCCTATGGTTAAAATAAGCTCCAACCTTTATTTTGGAAACAACCTGTAAACAACTCCTTTTAGTTGTTATTTTTTATTAAAGCCTTTTATATTTTCCTTTCTTCCTCAGAATATAGTCTCTAGCCCATCCTCTACCACCAAATAATTAATATTAATTCCTATTTTTGTGTAAATTGAAAATTACATATTATATATATATTTAATCACAATCATAAGAATTTTTTTCTGAAGTAAGGCAAGCAATGGTATCTGGGCACCAACATTATAGTATGTCATACCATGTCAAAATTTGATAAGACATGTAGAATTTAATAAATATAGATACATAGTGTGTGTGTATATATATGAACTTTTCTTACATCCCTAGCCTAATAGAGATGCTGTTAGAGATTTAACTACATTAGAATTTTATTAATTTCACAACTTTACTAAATATTTCATACATTTGAAATAGCCCCAGACAATTTTCAAATGACTATTATAAAAACTAAAGAAATAAAAACCAAACCAAAAAAAACCAAAACTGTAATTGAAGAAATTCTTGTATTTTATGGTTCATTATGCAGCACTATTAAAAAGAAAAGTAGGTAACTACTGCTCTTGGTTTTGGAATACAAAGTGATCTCTTTCACTGGAAAGCAATACAAAAGAATTGAAGCTTTGAAATTCTGACAGGAGCAAAGAAACTGAAAATATTTAGAGTAAGAAAGATAGCTTCACAAATAATAAACTTCATATACATATTTCCTTGTGAGGAAGTTCTTTAACATTTCTATTGCAAATTTGTTTTTCTATTTTTTCTAAAAGGCTACATGGAAAGAACCTGGCCTTGAGAGTCAGTGATATATGAATTCAAACCTACATGTCTTTACCAATAGTAAGTTAACTGAGCCTTGCTTTTACTCATCTGTAAAATTAGTATTTTAGAACTGTGTAGATGGAATGAAATTGCTCAGAACTGAAAAGAATCAAGTGTTCCTGGTGACAGAGTAGACGCTTGGTAACTATCTAATGACTTCTGAGTGAGTACTATCAACTTCTATAGTATGTAATTTCAAATACTTCCAAAAGTACATCCCATGGAACTGAACAATCAGGCAAAAAAGGGTTCAGTGGCCAAGAAATCTGAGAAGGACTATAGTGAATAAAATTGAACAGGTTTCTTTAATAAAAGACTTTTCAGAGCTTTACTAAGCCAATGTGAACTATGAAGCAACAGGCTGAGTTTAAATAATGCAAAATCTTTTTCCCCAGCTGGGATCTTATAGGACCAGTGTTAAGAAAACACAATTTGGGAACCACTGATCTAAAAGATCCGTGGCAAGACAAATTATGTAAGGAAAGAAGCCAATAAAGAGAGCTCAGTATTTGAGTAATTTCTAAGTTAATACCTCTTCTTCTTCCTGTGCTTCTACTGCTGGTCCATTATGTGCCTCCTGGAAAAGGAGTTTCTTCATCTTTCGATACTGCAGATTGTCTAGCTCTCTTACTGCATCCTTTGTTCTTTGAATGAGATCTATTAACACTGTTTCAGGGCGCTCCCGAAGAACAAACATGTGCTAGATAAGAAAGAGTAGAAGGTAAAAGTCAAGTTGAAACCTAACTATCTTTTCAACTGGTATAAATATACCCCTTCTCAGACCCTAGAGTACTATCCTAAACAATCATGATAGATTATGCATATAATCTATAACTCTCTATTAACATTTCTGACTTTCTATATTTACAAAATTGTCATATACACATACATACTCTGTGCCTACATTAACTAGCCCTATGCATTTATAAAAACTTTGAACATGATACCACAATCAAAAGGTCTAGTTAAATACTAAGAATTGTCTAATTAGAGCCCTTAATAAATGTTCACATATTCTTAGAACTATCAATTTCATAGAAAAGGCATGTTTGGTTCTGAGTTATATTAAGTTTCAACAGAAATGTATTTACTAATGGTAGTTTTATGTCATAAACTTGGAAATTATCAGTTCCTTTATATGTTGCATAAGCAACATCATAAAACACTAGCAGTTGATTAAAAGTCATTATATTATCAGTGATTTTTACCACTAACATTTAATAAAGCTTAACCTTATCAAATACAGAAAAGTAGAAAGAATAATTCCACCATTAGAATTACCACTGTTACATTTTGGCATGTTTCTTTTCTTATTTATTTATTTAACTTTTTAATTTATTTTCAATTACAGTTGACATTCAACATTATATTAATTTCAGGTACATAGCACAGTGGTTAGACATTTACATAACTTATGAAGTGATTCCCCTGATATATCTAATACCCTCTAATACAATACATACAGTTATTATGATATTATTGACTATATTCCCTATGCTGTATTTTACATTCCTGTGGTAGTATATTCCTTTTCAGAAATTTTCTATGTATAGATTTTGTTTTGGAGATATATAGTTAGCATACAGATTACAGAAAATACCTTCTGCCTTGAGTTCATGAGATGCCCCTGAATTCTTATAATACTTTTACCTTCTTTGTTAGTTTAAATTTATTTCTTTTCTATGCAAAGAATTGTAACTATAATATTTTATTCTACTTTCACTGTTGTAAGTATTACTTCAAACTTATAAACATAATGCCCACAGAACATTTCATCAAATGTTTATGCCGAAATTATTTAACCATTACTCTAATTCTGGATAATTATTTCCAATTTTTAATTCTGAGATAAATAGCTTCATATATTAAAAAAGATTTTTTCTATTCATTTTTTTAAATGTAGGATTGTAACAGAAATGTAATTAGGGCAAAGGAAAAGAAACACTTGATAGATTCTTTCTGTCATTTCCAATAAGGCTTTGCCAATACATGCTATGGATCAGGTAAATGAATACTATATGCAGACTTGGGATCTACTCCCCAAATACAAAATATGCGGCCCTGGTTGGTTGGGTTATTATCAAAAGAGTTTACACTTAGACAAATCTAAGAAGCCAGTCACATTCTTCCTTTTTCCTGAGTCTTAGCTTCTTGGTAGCCACCACTATTTATAATATTCAGTCTTCTCATCAAAATTAATTTCTAAGTTTGATAATTTTCTATATATAGATCTTACTTATTTTTCACTCATGCAATTCCTAGCTATAATAAACCTTTTGCTGCTATTATGAGTACCTATTTATTCTATCAGTGAAAATAAACTGAATCTCTTTGAAATTCTAAAACATTCACATAATAATAGTCTACTTAAATCTTGCAGTGAAAAATCAAGCTTCCTTAGAGTCACAAATTGATAGAGTCAAATCCTACTTACTAACATCTTATCTAGATGTTTTAAGAAAGATATTAAGTTCAATGATACTATTATTGCTATTAATAAGATAGTGAACCTCCAAATGAAATAATAAATTTTTGAAAACAGAAAGCATATACCAACCATGGATTTAAATTAGGCAACCAAATTTATTGAAAACTAAATAGCATTTATATGATTTTAAAAATATTTTCGTTACTAAGTTAAAAAAGTATATTTCTAGTTTATTTTTCAAAAAGTTTATTTTGAAATCTTTTCTTCCATGATATTTATGGCAACATATTACCTGTACTTTTCCTCTTTCATATTATTTTAATAAAAGACAGGTCAATATCTAAAGTACAGATATAAAAATTAAATTCAAAGTTAAATTATGTTTTACCAATTTCAAAAAATAACATTCCATACAAATTAAAATTTATACTTATAACTCATGAGTATATTCTTACACATATGAAAATTTAGCTACTTGACACTATTTTGAATTTTTAACTATATATTCTATTCAGCCATGGTAAAAAGCAGTTAATCAATTTTGAGGGGAAAAAAAGGAAAAAACTTAGCATCTAAGAGAAGTTCCAGTATATAAAATTAGCATTTTAGTAAAAACTAATAGAGCATACTTAATACTAGAATCAAAGAGGAATAAAACATATTTTTAAAAATAATTTCTTAGGGCTAGAAAACAGACTTAGAGTATAATAGAACTGACCTTTAAAAGTTCCTCTGATGTAGGGCGATCTTGAGGGATTTTCTGGAGGCAAGAATCTACAAAGTTGCGAAAATAATCAGACCTATTGTAAAGGAAAGTATCAAGTGAACATTTTGCTATTTTTTTTTAAAAAAATCCACAAATCAGGGTATGTGCCCATTCGTGGGAGGGGGATGGGAAAATAAATGATAAAAAAAGCAGACACGATACGCTATATATTTTACATAAGTCTATGAATATGATCTAAAGCAATCAATGAATTATCATTTTTCAAAGATAAACTTGCACAAATTATTTAAAAATTCTGCTCCTACATATTTAAATATTACCACTTGTTCTAAATTGAGGCAAAATTAGGGAAGCCAATCTTTTTCTTTTTTAACATTCAAATGTAAGGTAACACTGTTCTCAATTTTTTCCTCTTTTCTCTAAGTTATCTTTCTTTTCTTGTTTGCCCCTTGGATCATCTTGTATATAGTATGTTTCAGAACATCACTCTATTTGTTTTAGAGGGAGGATTTTTTATACCTGAGTATGAATAAGTAAAACTTTGATTAAACCCAGGAAACCAATTAAGATATTTTAAAAAACATTAGAAGTCTGCAACATATTATTATAGTGTTGCTGTTGAGAGTTCAGTGAGTAAGGCAGTAAGTAATAATTACTCCATCAATGTTCATCGTCAATAGTCAAGTAAGATTTTAAGTTCTTTGTAGGTAAGAATTCTTTTTTGAATCCCCAAAGTATTAAACACAGTATAAAGACAGTCTGTGTTCAATATATTTATATTTATATGTCTGATAATACTAAACTCTGTGCCAAAAGATTCTATATATCTCAACATAAGTAGCAAAGACCTGTGAATGTATCTTAATTATGTAATTTAAAAAAATTAAGTATCACTAATTTATGCATCTACTTATAAATTTAAAAATATTTATTAAATATACTAGATATTCCCCTAGAATTTTTCAAATGCTAGATACACTTGAGGAATTAATTTCCCACTAAAATTTTTTTATCACTGATAAAAATCCTAGTTTTCTAAAACTCAATCTGTTCTACATAACTTTATATAAATGAACTTATTAATTTTATCAAATCAAAGAAGCACTAGGAAAAGGAACATCAGAGCACACTAAATAACAACATAACAATTAGAACGATCTTAAAGTTATGAATTATCTGGTAATTCTGATAAATTATATACCATTCTCCAACAAAAATATTATAGGTATGACAACCTACATACTTTTTATAAAATATTAATGTTTAAATCATGCTATTTATTATATAATCAGGATTATATGTGTTTCTAAAGTTCAAAGAAAAAATAAACTTTTGTAAAAAGCAGTACTTTTTGCTTTCATGTGGCATCACTGAGTTCTATATATGCTATAAAAAGCAGACATAATAAAGGATATAAGGGTAAAATAAACCTATTTTATTTATATTTGCTAATAGTTTACTTAACATAGGTTCACTGAGGGAATTTCACAAGCCAATAGCATACTAGATAACATTCTTAATAAGCCAATGAAAATAATATACTCCAAAGCAATAATGAATTAATTACACTATTGTTCCAGGAAATAAACATATTTTAATATCTCTTCAGGAAGTAATACATTTTACCTAGTTAAAATGAAATCATTTTGATATTATGAAAAAGCACTTAATTTATACCATGTTGAGTAATGTATCTCTAACAATACTCACCATTCATTAGACTGTAGTGTAGGGGATTCATTTTGGGCTATGTGATATAAGGCACTCATTGCATTCATATTAAATAAAGGAGGCTTCCTTTCCGCTGTAAGAGAAAGAAAACCTGCCTGTTAAAATACATGCCTGTTAAATAGGGGCACAAAAGTATTGTTAGAAAGTTGTTTTTTAAAAAAATAATCTCAATTTTAGCAAAAAAAAAAAATTGCGAGTTCGAAGAACGTTTTCAAGTGAATCAGTTCAGAGTAAATTGCTGACCTGATGTAAATACTTAATATTTATTTCCTATAAACAAGAACATCCTACTAAAGAACTACAATACATACATTAAATCAGGCCATTAATACTTTAATCTTCAAACACTACTCAAATTTCAATCAAATATCAAAAGTAAGCTTTGATCATTTGCATCCTTCAAGGAAATTGTCCATTTTATCTAAGTTGTTAAATTTATTAACATAAAACTGTTCATAATATATCCCTATAATCCTTTTAATATCTGTAAAATCTGTAGTGATGACACCTTTTATTCCTGATATTGGTAATGTGTGTCTTCTTTTTTTCCTGATCAATCTGGCCAGAGGTTTGTCATTTTATTAATTTCCTCAAAGAACTAGTTATTTCATGATTTTTCTATTGTTTTTGTTTTCTGTTTAATTGATTTCCACTTTGATCTTTTTTAATTCTCTTTCTTCTGCTTATTTTGAGTTGAATTTGCTCTTCTTTTCCTAGTGTCTTAAAGTTGAAGTCATGGCATTGACAATTTTGAAGATACAAGACTCTTGAATGCCCCTCAATATGGTTTTGTCTTATGATTAAATTTAGGTTATAATTTTGCCAGGAATATCACAGAAGTAAATGTTATATTTTCCTCATTGTATTCTATAAGGAAGTGCATTATTTCGAATGGTTCTGTTATTGATGTTCACGTTGATCACTGAAGGCTGTGACTGCCAGGCTTCTTCATGGTAGTTTCTTTTTCCTTTGTAATTAAAATTACTTTGTGAGGAGTTACTTTGAATCTATATAAATAACCTGTTTTACATAAAACTTTCATTTTGTTCTTTATTGTATGAACTTATAGATTTTCATTTTAATAAGCTACAATGTGCTACTATCGTTTATTTTGATGTTCAAATTGCCTCATATTTGAGCAGTGAGAATGTTTTATGATGGCTTCTGTCTTTTGGACATGGTCTCATCATTCCTTGATCACCTCCTTGTTTTCTAGTACACTAAGATGTTCCAGGCTCATCCGACTTTCCCTATTTTTTTAGCCACTGGATCAACCATCTCTTGAAAGAGCCATGGCAATAGGTGTGCTCACTGCTACTGAAGTATCACTGCTTAGATCCTCTCAGTGGACAGAGTTAGGGAACACATATATATATAAACAATATGTTTTATACATACATGCACATTAAACATCCATATGTTTATTGAAAACAATTGCATTTATAACAATATCTCAAATCTCATTGAATAGTATTTATTCTAGCTTTCTCTTTCCATTATTTTTAAAATCTTTCTCTGACAATGAAAAACTTTTATCTCATTACCCTTAATATATTTTCTTATTTGAGAAATTCTCCCTGTATGTCTCCCATCTTTGCTACCACCCTCTTTGCTGAACAGATGCCCCACCTTTCCCTTTGAAGCCCCATTACAAGTCATTTTTCAGTGGGAATGTCATCTTCATCTACTCAGTTTCTGATACCAGACGCAAACTGCAATGAGATCCTCCTCATCAGTCCTTGTGAAGGAAGCTCTATTCTTTTTGATGAGGCACTGCCACTATGTCAGGCCAACCCTCAAAATGCACATCCTCTTGATTCTGACCCTACACAGTAGGATGCTCTCCCTGCTGTTACCTCCTCAACCTACTTTGGCTCTGACACCCAATGCTGAGCCACCTCTACATATAAATGCCTCAGTCACCCCAATAGAGCTCTGAATTTTCAAACCTGACTACCCAGCTGCATGAATACCCTCATCAGATTCTGTTTCCATATACCAGGCCATTGGTCTGTGGGAACCCCTCCTCTAATCATATGACTCTGACACTCCATTCATGGCTCACCAGCTAAATAATTTGGGAAGGGGATGGAGTTACTAAAGAAATTCTGAATGAATGAAATAACTTTTTTCTATGATAATTTATTAAAATATTTAAATCTTTTAATGGTGTACCATCAATGTATCAATCTAAAATATGATTTTTGATTTTGTCATTTAGTATAAAATTAAATATCTCTCAATTCTGTCAAAGAACAGTGAATTTAGCTAAAAAATCTGTCATATCTAAAATGTGGCAGACTTTGGTGAATTCAACTAACACTTTCTATCTCAAATTCTTATAAGCTACTACTATACTAATATGATTTAAACTAAATTTTTTTTTAAAAAGTTACAGAGATCCTATTCCTTATTATCATGTACACGCCTCTCAAATTTCTCTATCAAATGTGGATTATTTCCATAAAAGTAAATTTTGAGTTGATTTTTGTGTATGATAAAACATAGTAATCTAGTTTCATTCTTTTGCATGTGGCCGTCCAGTTTTCCCAATACCATTTATTGAAGAGACTGTCTTATCCTCATTCTTAGCTCCTTTGTCATAAATTAATTGACCATATATTCATAAGTTTATTTCTGGGCTCTCTAGTCTCTTCCATTGATCTATGTGTGTGTTTTTATGCCAATAACATACTGTTTCAATTATTACAGTTTTCAAATACAGTTTTAAATCAGGAAGCATGATCCCTCTAGCTTTGTTCTTCCTCAAGATTGTTCTGGCTTTTCAGAATGTTCTGTGGTTCCATACAAATTTTAGGAGTTTGTTCTATTTCTGTGAAAAATTCCACTGGAATTTTGATAGGGATTGCATTGAATCTGTTGATTGCACTTTGGGTAGTTTGGACATTTTAACAATATTAATTCCTCTAATCTCTGAGCGTAGAATATTCTATTTATTTGTATCTTTTTCAATTTCTTTCATCAGTGTACAGGTCTTTCACCTTCTTGGTTAAATTTATTCCTATATATTTAATTTTTTAACGTAACTGTAAATGGGACTGTTTTCTTATATTTCTGTTTGTTATAAGTGTATATAAATGCAACTGTTTTTGTATATTCATTTTATATCCTGCAACTTTATTGAATTCATTTATTCTAAAAATTTGTTGGTGGAATCTTGAGAATTTTCTATATATAATATGATGTCATCTGCAAAAGGTGACAGTTTTACTTCATCCTTTCTGATGTGGATGCCTTTTATTTCTTTATCTTGCCTAATTGCTCTGGCTAGCACTTCCAATACTATATTGAATAAAAATGGCAAGAATGAACTTCCTTTCTTGATCCTGATCTTAGAGGAAAAGCTTTTAGCTTTTCACCATGTTAGCTGTGGGTTTGTCATAATGGCTTTTAGTATGCTTAGGTACATTCCCTTTATACCCAGTTTAGAGTTTTTATCATAAATGAATGTCGAATTTTGTCAAATGCTTGTTCTGCATCTACTAAAATGATCATCTTGAAGTGTCCTTGTATGATTTTGGCATCAGGGTAATAATGCTGGCTTTGAAAAATGAGTTTGAAAGTGTACCCTCTTCTATTTTCGGAAGAGTTTGAGAAGGATTGGTATTAAGTCTTTAAATGTTTCATAGAGTTCACCAGTGAAGCCATCTAGTCCTGGACTTTTGTCTGTTGGGAAGTTTTTGATTACTGATTCAATCTTCTTACTAGTAATCAGTCAGTTCAGATTTTCTATTTCTTTATGATTCAGTCTCAGTAGGTTGGATGCTTCTAGGAATTTATCCATTTCTTTTAGGTTGATGTATAATTGTTCATAGTATAATCTGATCCTTGAACAACATGGATTTGAACTGTGTGGCTCCAATTATACACAGACTTTTTACAATAAATATATTGGAAATTTTTTGGAGATTTTCTTACTACCATGAAGCAATCATGTCAATTATGCTAGGATATCATAAAGCAATTATATTGCTTATTATGTTACTAATGTATGAATTGTCACATCTGTAAATAAGTATAATTTTTTCACATTATCTTTACATTTTTTATATCTAATATTAGTAACATGTGTAACATCTACAGTGTTTTGTATATTAGACAATACTGATGTAGGTACTGACATATGATTCACCTTGTAAACAGATGACATAAACTTAAGGTATTGACAAATACAGTAATGTAAATGTATTTTCTCTCCCTTATGATTTCAATAACATTTTTTCCTCTAGCTTACTTTATTATAAGAATATGGTATATAATACATATAACATTCAAAATATGTGTTGACTGTTTATATATTATTGGTAAGGCTTCCAATTAACAGTAGGCTATTAGTAGTTAAGATCTGGGTAAGTCAAAACTATACATGGATTTTCAGCTGCACAGGGGTCTGTACCCCTGAGTACCGCATTGTTCAAGGGTCAACTGCAATCTCTTATGATCCCATTATTTCTGTGGTATCAGCTTTAATGTTGCCTTTCATTTCTGATTATATTTATTTGAGTCCTTACTCTTTTTCTTGGTGAGTCTAGTTAAAATAAAGGTTTTTCTACTTTGTTCTTCAAAAATCCAGCTCTTAGTGTTTCACTAATCTTTTCTATCGACTTTTTTAAATCCACAGTTCATTTACTTCCACTGATCTTTGTTATTTCCATCCTTCTACAAACTTTGAGTTTAGTTCTTTTCCTAGTCCCTTGAGATGTAAAATTAAGTTATTTATTTGGGATCTTTCTTATTTCTTAATGTAGGTATTTATCATTGCAAACCTCCCTTAGAACTGCTTTTCCTGCATCCCATATATTTTGGACACTGTATTTCCATTTTTGTTTGTCTTGAGATTTTAAAATTTCTTTTGATTTCTTCTTTGACCCACTGGTTAGTTGTTCAGTAGTATGCTACTGCTGTTTTATTTTGTCCTCTCCCCTCTCTTCACTTCCTATAGATCACAGCCCCCTCTCTTGCTCCCAGGCATGCTCCTGGAGTGGAGCTCCCTCCCTCATGCTTGAGAGACTCTTGGGGGCTCCCTATTGAGTCAGGACTTTGCATCTACAG